AATATTTCAAATTTTTCTTCAAAAATTACCTATAATGTTTTGCATCCAAACATGGCATTCCACTTGGAATTTGATCTTGACCAAAAAAGATGGAATGAAATAGACCTCTTGAATGACATTTTGAAACTTGAACCATTCAAAATATTCAAAAATTGAGAGAGTTATGAATTGTTTAAGTTGGCAAAAAATCATGAAATGACCTATAATCTTTTGCACCCTTGGGGCATCTTCCATCCATTTTCTCACTTTGCATATAAAAGAAGGAATAAAGTTCACATCCCCAACATCACTTTGGAAAAATAGTGGGCTCAAGGTGATAAAAATTGACCAAGTTATGATCATTTGAATCTACACATGGAAAATTGGGGATTCATCTGGAGGACTTGTAATCTTTCTTCATCATCAAGTTTCTCCCACATGAAAACTCCTTGAAACTTTTGAAGTAATTTGTTAATAACCCTTTGAAGAGAAGGATGTTTTTGGAATCACTCAAAAATACCAAAAGATGAGCAAGATGTACTTCTTTGAAGTTCAAAACCCTAGCTCCTAGATCAAGAAAATGCTTTGAGGAACTTTGACAATTTTGACCAACCTTCTTGTACCAACATTCTTGCTTTGTAAATAGAAGTTGTTGAGGATGATAATGAGAACTCATAGCCACTAAAAACACTTCCATATCTTGAGAATTGAGAGAAATATGCACTTGTGATCAATGGGAACAAGACCTTGTCCAATCATGACAACTTCTTCCATCAACCCATTGTACCTTTGAATCAATTTGATAACTTTGAAATATGATGAACCCAAAATAAACCTTGCCATGCCATTTTTTCCAAAACAACTTCAATGGTGAGGTTTGTAGTTCTCAAGCTTTATTGACTAGGGCATGGAAATAAACTCATGAACCCATGGATCAACTTGCTAAGCCGCATTGCCTTTACCTACATTATTAATAAGTAAGACAAACCAACATTGTATTTTATCAATTAGAAAAAAAATCAAGTCAAAATATCCATGATCACAAAAGAAAACAAGTCAAGGTTCTTGGTGATTCCTCAAAGAGGAAAACTAAAGATATGGAGAAGAACCAAAAGCCCTAATGTGATCTTGTTGTGATTGAATCCACATGGTATGATGAAGGAATCTTATGGGTGAAAATTGGGGTACAACACTTCCATAGCCCAAGCTCAGAGTTTCAGAGGCTAAGCAACCCAAGCCCAAATTTGTTGGACGTGCGCTGTATGAATTTCAATCAAATCTTCCACAGAGAATCAATTCCAATCAAATATTTTTAATTTCATCCTCAATATTTGTTCTAGCCATAGTCCAAGCCCAAAAAGTGAACATTATAAATAGAGGAGCAAATTAGAGGAGGGGAAAAAAGGAGAAAAGTTTTTGACGAGGAGAGAGACGAATTTGCAGAAAAGTTTGCAAAAACAAGAACACCGCAATAGGAGCAAGAATAGGAAGAACATAAAAGTTTCTGGAAAATCCAGAAGAAGAACACGAAGAAAAACAACTGAGGTTCCAATATTTGGAATCCTAGTTTCAATCACCGTCGCTCCACCTCCCATCGCCGCTGTCACCAGAATCTGCAGAAGAAGAAGGAAAGGACAGCCAAACACGCACCAGAATCAGAAGTAAAAGCGCCAAAGGGGTAATAAGTTTTAATCTGTTTCTTTACTTTTTTTCATGTTGGATAGGGTCAGAAGAATATAGGTAGGGCTGAAACTATAGAAAAGATATGTAGATAGTTTCATATTCTGACTGCATAAATTCACGCTAATTTCTTACGTTCAGATGTAGTTCCTTTTTAGAAGTTCTTACTAGGCTTAACCCAGGTTTCAGATTTTTCCCCTTGTCTAGAATCAACATTAGACTTGTATACTCTTTGTCAGCCCTTTTTCCAGAAACTCTGAGTAGTGGGCTTAGCCCAGAATTTGACGTCCCTGTTTCCTGACTTTGCTAACTAGCTTACAACGTGCCTCTCCAGAATTTCTACGACTAGGTCAAAACCCAGTCAATTTCCCTGCATCCCCTGCATAACTTCTGCCCCTTTCAGAATATCCCTTTTGCAAAATTTTCGCTAGGGCTTGACAACTAGACGATACAACCCCATGTTCATAATTTGTCTTTTTTTCTTTTACTTTTCTATTTTTGCAATTATTTTCTATTATTATAATTATTAATTTTTATTGCGAATATTATTATATCACTTAAATTATTTTACATCAAATATTGCATATTACTTTCTTATATTATTTGCATTAAATATTTTTTTATATATCATGCATTAATAAGAATTTTTACAATTAACATCTATAAAAAACACTCAACAAATCTCAAACTTTTTTCACAATCAAATAATCTGAACAACTATTTTTGCAAAAGAGTTTCAAGCAGATTTTGACTTACTGCGTATTTAGTCAAAATCTCTACAATCACTTCTCCAGGCCAAAATGTGAGGCGATTCAAAGTACGTTTGCAACCCCTAAAAACACAAACCCATACGAACTACGAATTGGGACTCTGATTCCTCATAAGAGGATACGTAGGTATACGATCAAAAATCGTAGTGAGTTCCCCTATAAAAATTTAAACTCTTTCCCCTAATAAAATTTAAATCCTGTTTCCCCAACTTAAACCTAAAACCTAATATCCTTGTGAACAAGGTAGATGAAAGGTGTCTAACACCTTTCTTTCGTCTAATGAAGTCCGAAACCTAGAATCTCTGTCTGCGAATTAGGGTTCTCTGTTAGATTCATTTCCTTAGGATAAAAACTAATAATGGTGACTCTGTATTTAAAATCAGTCGCAACACTGCTTATGTAGGTTTGTTTTGTGATTATAGAGACAATTTCATCTTAGCTTTTGTTGACTCTGTGCCTTGGACCCCATCTTACTTGGTTGAATTCGTTGCAGTTATTTGAGTCTTGGAAATTACCATTGAGAAAAGTTGTATTAGGCTTTGTATTGAAACAAACTCAGCTTTGGTGGTTCAAGCTTTTTCCAAACCCTCTTTAATTCTCTGATAAGTCAAAATTGATTGAAACAGTTATATAATTTTTTTTCTTCAAGACAGTTTTTAATTTCGCACATTTATAGAGAAGATAACTCTTGCGTTGATTTTATTTGCAAACATAAATCTTAATTATAGCTCTCTCTTCTTTCTTTTTTTAATTCTACCCCCTTTAAATATTAAGAATGAATTTGTATAAAATAGGTTAGAATTACCTAACTTTAGATTTTCCTCTAGATGAATTTTTGTTGTAATCTCATCTTTTTGTAATGTTTCATTTTTTTAATAAACAAGGTTTCATTTTTAAAAAAAGTTTAGAACAAATTGTTGTTTTAGAAATACCATCTTCGAGGTTTTATAAAATTGGTCAAAACTATCAATTTGAAAATTTCCTCAAGATGCATTTGGAGATTGGAAACAAAAAATATTTACATATTTCAAAATGTTAATGTTGTGTTTGTGAATAGGTGAAAAAGTTTGGCTACACACATAATATCTACCACATGCATATGTTTTAGAATAACATGTCATCCTTACTAGACATTCCTAATGTAATCTTGACTCAATCCATTATTGATATGACCATTATTCAATAAATTTATTGTCCATATAGAAAAAGAAAGAAAATATTAATTTTGAATACTACTAGTAAACACAAAAAATACTACTAAAATAAATACATGGACATGTCAATTTCAAGAAGTGGTCACTAGTCAGTGTTAGGTGATTATTATAACTCCATGCAGTCTCAATTACTGTGCGCTGGCTGTTGGAAATTGGAAGTTTGTTAATGCTACCTCTCAGCATGGAACAAACATTGTTCCTATCATCACACACACGTGTAATACTACAACTGTTTTCCATTATATTTCTTTCATCACTCCAAAATATTCCTTACACAATCCAAATCATTAAATCATTAAATATTTTTTTTTTTAATTATTCATTCTATATTCAAAATATTATTTAATTTTTTAATATATAGTATTTATTTATTTCTATAAAAACATTTAGATATTTATCCATTTTGTTTTCATCCACCGATTGTTTTATGATTTCTTTTACCATTTTATTGTGATTTTGTCGTTTGAATGTAATATTATTTTATTTATTGCCATGTTAGTTTTATTTGAATTGATAGATCAATTTTGCCATTTTAAGAAATTTATCAATAATTTAAAAGTAATGTTAATTTGTGCTTTAGGAGCACAAGTTAAAAATTAAATGAAAAAAATATTATTTTAGAAATTGTGTATTAATTTTAATATAATTATATAATTAATCTTTTAATATATTTTTAATACAAATTTTTTATAAAATAGTTTCTTAATTAATAATTATCCGTGATTTAAGCATCAATATTTTTGAATTTAGACACACACAATATATATATACACATATAAGAGAATTTTTTTCTTAAAGAATAATATAATATATTTTTAAAATTATTATAATTCAGTAATTATTAATTAATTTAATTTATTTTATCAAAAAGTTTGATTTATTTTGACTAAAGGATTAATGTAGATAAGTATTATTTAATTAATATATTATATAATAATAATAATAATAATGATAATATATATGACTCGTACATAAATAATATTACTATATTAAAAAGTTAATAATATTCTAAATACTTTGAATCGACAAATAATTCAAATAAAAAGATTTTAAAATTCTCAATACATATTATAAATAATTAAAAATTACTATAAATTGAGTTGAATGACATTTCACTTTATATAATTTGACTGACTATTTAAGAGATAAAGTTTAATCAATGATAAAATTAAAATTTTAATTATTTTCTCCATTTTTTTTATAAAAAACAATTAATTTTTAAAATTCAATGAATATATAATAGATTAATATATTTAAAAAAAAATAGTTATTCAATTTATTTAAAAAATAATAATTTTTTTATAAATAGAATGAAGGGAGTATATATATGAAATAAAAGTTAGAACTAATAAACTTCAAAAAAACAATACACTCCAAACAAAAACCTAAAACCTCACCTTCCCCAATCTCCACTAACATTTCACCAAGCAACAAACACCTTTCTTCTCTTCTCTCTCTCATATTCACCCATCCACTTTCTCAACTCCTTCTCCAACAACAACCTTACCTCATCACATCATCATTCTCTAAACTCTATTGTTTGTTGTGTTTCTTGTTTCTTCTTCTTTTGTCTACATTTGTCACTCTTTTGTTCAGCCACTTTTCCCCTAATACAAACTTTATTTTGATTAAAATTTTTTTTTATTTTTATTTTATAAAAAGTACTACTAGTAGCAGAGAAAAAGTTAGTAGTTACGTATACATACATATATATACATACACTGGACCATTAAGTCATTAACAAAAAGTACTTTTTTTTCTCTTAACTTTTGGTTTTTGTTTCTCTTTGACTTGTTATTTCAATTGGGTTTTGTTGATAATTCATAAGGGTCATATAAAAATGGTTTCTTTTTAGTTTTCAAAAACTCTAATTCTCTCATCATGGATCTTGAGTCTGTTATCCACAAGAACCCAATTAAGGTAAGGATGGAACAGAACATGTTTGTGTTTATGTCTGTGTCATGTTGGAATTTCAGAAATATTAAAATATCTTCAAAAATCTTTGCTTTTTTTTTTTTTTCTCTCTTTGTAGGAGGAATCATGGAAGCATGTGTTGGTTTTGGCTTATCAAAGTTTAGGAGTTGTGTATGGAGATTTAAGCACTTCTCCACTTTATGTTTACAAAAGTGCTTTTGCTGAGGATATTAAACATTCGGACACAAACGAAGAAATCTTTGGTGTATTGTCTTTTGTGTTTTGGACACTGACTTTGATTCCACTTTTCAAGTATGTGTTCATTGTGTTGAGAGCTGATGATAATGGTGAAGGAGGGACTTTTGCTTTGTACTCTTTGCTATGTAGACATGCTCGTGTGAGTTTGATGCCTAATACTCAGCTTGCTGACGAGGATTTGACACAGTACACAATGGATGGAACTGCTGCAGTCAATAAGAGAAATGTTGGGTCTAGTTTGAAATCTTTGTTGGAGAAACATAGGGTGCTTCAAAGGGTGCTTCTTGTTCTTGCTTTGATTGGGACATGCATGGTTATTGGCGATGGTGTTCTCACACCAGCAATTTCTGGTATTTGTGATTTCTGATACAGTAATTAATACTCTGCATGTTTTGATTTGCCAGAATTACGGTGAGCCACCGGGATTTTGCCAAACTCGGGCATTCAAACATACGCTTAAGGCATGTTTGGAATCACATTGAGTTTGATGAAATCACTGTGGCACTGTGATTTGGTTAGGTTAAAAGTGTAGTTTTTCTGTGATTTCATTGCAAATAGTGAAAATATTTAATCTTGGTGGTGACTCACTTTTGTGGCTTTTGCCATTTTTGCAGTTTTTTCTGCTATTTCAGGTTTAGAGCTTTCCATGTCTAAAGAGCAGCACAAATGTAAGTTCCTTTTTGAAGAAAAAAACTAGTTTTGCTTTCAATTTTTTTTCTTCCCTTTTTTCTTCAAACTTATGGTCAATATTTTAAAAACCGAATCAGAGATTGAACCGGCGAGACCTCTGAGTTTGGTTCAGTCACATTAAATTGCTCAAATCAAGACAAAACCGCGATCACATCGCCAAAATAACCGAACCATAGTAAAGACTAGTTCATGGTTCAACCGGTTCAACCTTCTAGTTCAATTTTAAAACACCACTTGTAATGCAATAGTGATAATAATCTAACTTCTATTTTAAGAAGATTATGCTTTTATTACTATAAGGGGAATTTGCTGCTAAAAAAAGGCCTTTTTGGATAATCTGAGTAAACTGGAAAAAGCCGTCCAATTTTTTAATACACAACTTGGAGTTCTTTATTCAATAATCAATTTTCTTTATTTTATTTTGTATTATGCTACATGTAGCTTACAATTGCAGATTAAACTAGTTGATTTGTTTCACAGAATCCAAATGTTTGGTATCATGAACAATTCTTGGGAATATGTTCTTACAATAATTTACAAATTTAGAATAATCCTCATTTTTTCTATATCTTATAAAATGTGACATTGCATTTGTCTTAGTCAATGGCATATATGCTGTCAAGATAATTTAAAGATAATAATAACACTAAAAGTTCGGTTTGGTATCAAAATCGATTTGTTTAATGCATGAATGAAATCTTATTTTTAACCATTTTCTTTTCATGTTACCTATTGTTGCATGCTGTTTAAATTAGTGGAAGAATATGGAAAACCAATTACAAAAGTCACTTTTGTTGCTAAAACATGTAACTGATTATGTAATCGATCTTAAATCGATTAGAATATTAAAAACATGTGGCTAAGATGTAAAGTTTAGTAATCTTAAGATCAAGTATTAAAACAAAAGTTAATTCCTTTATAAAGTTAACCTTTCATTAGATTATAGGTTAGTATAATATAAAGTACTGTGATTTGGATGGGATTTCATTCGATAAATCGACGTGGATCAACCTGGAAAAGTCATTGATTATTTGATTGGCTACAAAATTAGGTATTGGCACTATTAGACTTGTCATGTACAGTGTGTGTAATCCCACTTTGGTTTATAAATAATGATTTTCTATGGCCTAATTCTGTCAACTTCAAAAAAATTGTAGTTGTTCAAATACTATAGCATGATGAAGTCACCCCAATTACACTTTTTAATATTGACCCAACTTTTTCTTTTTCTCTTTTCTAGTTTGAAATCAGTAAGATTATTCTGTTGTTTTATAGAAAAGTCATTTGAATCTCTGTTAATAATAACTTCATTGAAATTATTCGATTTTTTTTTAATTTTTATAAAAATAGTATATACATAAGCACTTATACGAAAAGTGCTTATGCTATAACTATATCTGCTTAATTAAGTTGTACGTTTGCTTTTATTTCCACTGGTAATACTGATGTAATTTGGTTATGCAGATGTGGAGGTTCCGGTTGCTTGTATAATACTGATGTTTTTATTTGCGCTTCAACATTACGGAACTCATCGGATTGGATCTCTTTTCGCACCTGTTGTGTTGACGTGGCTGATATGCATCAGTTCTATTGGTATTTATAATATAATCCACTGGAATCCGCATGTTTACCAAGCTCTCTCCCCATACTACATGTTCAAATTTCTGAAAAAAACTCAATCGGGAGGTTGGATGTCGTTGGGAGGGATTCTATTGTGTATAACTGGTATGGAGCATGAGAATTATTTGAGTTTATCTTTTAACTTTATTTTATTTTGTTATTAATAACTTATAGATACGCACTTATATGATAAGCGCTTATGCTATTAGCGCTTGATTATGTTGTTTATCCAAATTGGGCCAATGTTAAGGAAAATGTGTTCCTGTATGCTTGATCCTTGTCTGATATTATTGGGTCTATGTTGCAGGCTCAGAAGCTATGTTTGCTGACTTAGGACACTTTTCGCAATTGTCTATTCAGGTACACACATAAGTGAAGTCTTTATTTGGCACTTTTAGTTCTAAATTATGAGCAAATATTGAAGGGAAAGTGGTGAATTGTCTAAGTGTATGCTTGAATTGGCGGTGAGACTGGTGTAGTTACAGTGACACCATGATTATGTTGAAAATTGCGGTCGTCCAACGTGATTCTGCCAAAACCACCGACAATCCAAACATGCACTAAATCATTTGTCAAAGTAACTATGATATGTACACAATGTGCGCCTTCATTATTGAAGAGATACGTATATGCACCATTATGCCAATGATCTTGTAACTTATCACTTTTTCATTAGCTAAATTAATTCATATAAAGAGCTATGAGTATGCCTTTTACTTTCTTTGATCTTCTTCAAAATAAAATCGTATTCAACTATTTGCAGAAATGGAAAATAATCAACTGTTTTAACAAAAAGTCATTTACCTGCAGATTGCTTTCACTTTCTTAGTTTACCCTTCTTTAATCTTAGCCTATATGGGACAAGCTGCATATCTTTCCAAGCATCATTCCCTTGAAACTGACTATAGAATCGGGTTTTATGTGTCTGTACCAGGTAGGTTCTTTGCGATATTCTCTACACGCATGTATTCAAAGAATGATTAGTGCTTATATAGATATATATCTTAACTTTTCTTTTTCTCATTTTTTTAGTAAAACTTAGATGGCCTGTTCTTGCAATAGCCATACTTCAAGCTGTGGTTGGAAGCCAAGCTATCATCACCGGAACTTTCTCGATAATCAAACAGTGTTCCTCTTTAGGATGCTTCCCGAAAGTCAAAATCGTCCATACATCATCCAAGATACATGGTCAGATTTACATTCCTGAGATCAACTGGAGTTTGATGCTTCTTTGCCTGGCTGTTACAATTGGTTTTCGAGATACCAAACGCCTCGGAAACGCAGCAGGTAACTCCACCATTATGGAATAATTTCATGTGTTGTTCAATCTAATTGCATCTCAAAAATTTGACTACATTGATAAGCAATATTATTCTATATTTTTCGCCTTTGAGGTGAGCAATCGTCTTAACTATCGGTTTTTTGTTTGGTGTCCATGTCTGTGTCGATGCTTCATAGGTCTTAATCATATGTTTGGTGTATAATCATGAATATTGTTTTCTTTCGATAAACAGGTTTGGCTGTGATAACTGTCATGCTGGTAACGACATGCCTGATGTCTCTGGTTATAGTCTTGTGTTGGCACAAAAGTGCTTGGGTAGCTATTTGCTTTCTATTGTTCTTTGGTTCCATTGAAGCACTCTATTTCTCTGCCTCACTCATCAAGTTCCTTGAAGGTGCTTGGGTCCCTATTGCCCTTTCACTCATCTTTCTTATTATCATGTATGTATGGCACTATGGCACGGTTATGAAATATGAATTCGATGTTCAAAATAAGGTCGCTATCAATTGGCTCCTTGGTTTAGGCCCGACTCTCGGAATCGTAAGGGTTAAAGGTATTGGCCTAATACACACCGAGCTTGTAGCTGGGATCCCAGCTATCTTCTCTCATTTTGTTACCAATCTTCCTGCTTTTCACCAAGTTGTAATCTTTCTATGCATCAAATCCGTCCCGGTACCGCACGTTGCACCTCGAGAGAGATTCTTAGTTGGTAGAATTGGACCAAAGGAATATAGGCTTTATAGGTGCATAGCACGGTATGGCTACCGCGACGTTCATAAAGATGACATGGAGTTTGAAAATGATCTTATTTGCAGCATAGCAGAGTTTATCAGATCCGATATATCTGAATACAGCTCAGGGTTAGGAAGTTTCGAAGATGATACAAAGATGACCGTTGTCGGGACTTCGTCGTCAAACTCAGAAGGCGTAAAGATTTCGGAAGACAATCAAGATAATAATTCTCAAATAGAAGGAAC